GTTTTTTTTTTCAAAATTTTTTTTTTTAAATTTTTTTTTTGGAAAAAAATATAAAAAAATTCTTTAAAGCTATCTTCATCGTTATTTTTAAAATTTTCAGAAATAACTCCGAATTTTTTGATGAATAACATTTTTAGTTTTTTTTTTCTTTTTCTCATTCTAAACTTTGACATTTTTTACAGATATTATGAAATTTCCAGAAAGGTGTTTTTCCGATTTTTATTTTTTCTTTTCAATTAAAAAAAAAATTTTTTTTCTTTTGTCGTATTTTTCATAACATCGGTCCAAAAATTTACGGGAATCCTCGAATTTTTTTCCAAAAAGAACATTTACTAACAAAAATTTTGAAAAAAAAACGTCCCGATAAGCCAATTTTTGAAAAAGTTATGGCAATTTAAAAATAAAAAAGCGGTTTTTTTGAAAAATTCGTGACCTTTTTGGTTGGGTAAAAAAATTTGAAAAAATTATGAGAGACGTTTTTGATAGGGTAGAAAAGGATGGTAAACTTTCAGCCAAATCAAAAGGGGTCAGGGTCAAAAGTGGTCGATTTGGCGTGGAATGCCCCATAGATTATATATAATCATATATAGACCTAGATAACTCAGATCTGATTATATATAGACTTATATAAAATATACATACAATATATTAGTCTATAGATGATTATATATATTTTCTATAAAAATTTAGATATAATCATATATAATTCTATATATTCAATATATAATCATATATAAATATATATGATTAGGCAAATTCTTTTTTTCCCGGGTATGCATGTACTCTCGAACCAATTTACGTTTGGGTTCTCTTGAGTTTGATCCAGAGCGATCTAAAGACTTGTTTGACTATCACAAATGTTTTGAAAGAATGAAACTTTTCTGACGAAACAAAAACACTAACAGGTGTTCGTGGGAGTTGCTGCCTAAATGATTCTAAATATTTTTGTATTTCACGAAATAAGATTTTTGGTCCAATGCACGATTTTCTTTGAGGCATCTGCCCTATGATGATAAAATTAGTTTTGAAACACTATATTGTCGATCAAAAGAAGTTGAGTATTGATAACTTCAACAATAGAATATCTTCTTTTCAATGGGGTTACTGTGAAATGAAAAATAAACCATCGGCAAATTTCACTGTCAGTATATTGCGGCGAAAAGAACACACACTAAGTCAAAAGGCGATGCAAACTTGGAATTTAATACGAGCGATTCCTATTCTTTTGTCCGATGTCATTGACAGTGATGATGAACATATGATACTTGTTATTAATTTATTACAAATAATGGAATTAGTTTTTGCTCCAAAAATTACACAGTCGCTTATTCCATATTTAGACGCTCTAATCAGAGAATTTTGCTCAAGCTTTAAAACTTTATTTCCTGATATTAATGAAATCCATAAATTTCATCATCTTTCACATTACCCTACATGCATACTTTGGTCCGGTCCTCAAGCCAATTATTGGTGTATGCGTTATGAAGCCAAGCATCATCGTGCCCAAGTTCGAGCTGAAGTAGTCCATAATTTTAAAAATCCACCAAAAACATTAATAAGAGTCTTTCAATGTGGCCAAAGTGCAAAGTGGGGTGTAAAAAACGTGGAAATGTTTCAAGTACTTAAATCATCTGGAAAATATGTCTTAGTCCAAGAAACTTTGAGTCAACAGTTTTTAATTGATCTTAATTATGACAATCATGACGAAATATTTCGTAGTAATTCCTTAAAGGTGAATGGTGTTGAATTTCACTTGGGCTTGTATACATGCCTTGAAACTGCTCGACTTCGTCCTGATAATTTACCACTTTTTGGAGTTATCGATGAAATTATTGTATTGAATAATACGGATGTACATTTATTATTGTCGATTTGTACACCATGCTCTTTTGACACATCTCTACATGCATACCACATAGAATGCAATGCAGATTTTCAAACACAATCATTCATCAATGTGCTCAACTTAGCTCACTATAAGCCATTCTCGTGCTGGAATAAAGCGGGATGTGATGCTCTTTACTTAAGTCTACGTCATTATATATTATAACAAGTAAAAAGCTTTTTTCTCTCTTGGATTAAAGTGAAATAAATCTTTTACTTCATCTTGAAACTCTAAAATTACACGTAAAAATTATAACTGATAAATATATATAAATATTTTGTTTAAAATTTATATGTTATGTATAGAATTAATAATTTTTTTATTTATATTAAGCTCAACGGATCAATGGTAACGCATTCATCGAGTTAACGAAAGAAGACCTTCAAATTATGAGCATCAAAATAGGTCCTCAAAAATTAATATTAAAAGTTTTGAGTTCCATTATGACGGCAAGCTCTACTGTGAATGATTCGATTATTCAACCTCCTTCTTCAAGTAATAATTCATCAATTGGAGTAAACCTGTTATTTCAGCCTGAACCTAGTACTTCTAATATTACAGTAATTGATTCTACAAAATTTTCGGTATAATTAGTTCATTTTTTATAGACATTAGCAATAAATGTTTCAGCTTCTTAAATTTAATTTGCTTCAGCATTACAATTTTGATTATTAATATTTCAGAATAATTCTACCATTCGAGAAACACTTCCCGGGTAAAAAAATTTATATATAATTATATATACTTATATATTATTATATATTACTTACATATAATTATATATGATAGACGTTTAATAAAACACTATTTTTTGAATTTTCAAACCGCAATAACTTTTGAATGAATGAACCGATTTTCACGTGGTTGGCGGCATTCGACGCAGTTTTTCAAATTCTACGGCATATTTTCAAAACAAATTGATCGAATCGGAAATTTCGGTGTAATTAAAAAAAAAACACTTTTTTCGATTTCTTTCGTCAACGATAACTCAAGATCAAATCAACCGATTTTGGCCGGCTTGGTGGTGATCGACGTGGTTTTTCGATGTTAAGAGCTGATTAGTTTATGGAATTGATCGGTCAAGCCGTTTAAAATTTATTAAAAAAAAACCACATTTGAAAAAATTTTTTTTTATCGTTTTTTTGAGATTTCTCAAAATCTACCGGCCCGAATCAGTCCAAACTGTAGTCAAAATCTAAGTTCAGTCAAGCGCTTTCGAATGGCGCCAACCACTATGAAATCGGTCAAGCCGTTCAAAATATATGAGAGGTTTACATACATCCACACATACATACATACGGTTCTCGGTCGAAAATTCCCTCGAAATATATCCCAAGCAAAAATATCCCAAGTGAAAATATCCCAAGCAAAATAATTCCAAGACAAATACATCCCCTTCACATAAATATCCCCTGATAAAATATCCCACCGTAAAATCTTGTCCCATCTTTCTAATAATTTATGTCTTCTCAAATGGGGGGGCTTCGCACAAACGCGTGCGTACATCAGGACATCTTCGTAAAAATAACCATAATAGCTTTCTAGGATCTTAAAACATGGAGATCTAATGAGCATTCGATTTTCGAATAAGAGTAAAACCAATAACTTTCTTGTGATTTTTGTGAATTACGCTTTTAATAGCAAGTAAATTTATTTTTCAATGTACATACCATAGACATTCAGACGTGCTGCATGTGTGACTTTCCCTGCTCGATTTTCAGCGGTGCAAGAATATTCACCACCATCTTCTACCATAACTTGACTAATATTCACATGTGATATAACATCTCCATGGACAGTTACGTATTGGCCTATGACAAACCTGTTGAAAAATAATTAAATGAATATTTGACAGAAAAGAGATTTTAGTGAAATCATACAAATAATCGTATTAAATTGTAAGACTACGCTTTTTATCGAGTTTTTAATTACGAAACTATTCAATAATGTACTGTAGGAGCTGTGATTAATCCCCAAAGATGACCGACAAGAAAAATTTTTTCACTGCACAATAATTGCATGCCCTAGCGGATCGCTATACACTAAGTATACACCAAATATACACGGTGTATACGCGGCGTATATACACTGAGTATACACCAAGTTTACACCAAAAATTTTTTTTAAGTCCCATTTTCATAAAAATTTCTAAGTGCTGTAAGCAAAGTCAAAAATTTTTTACGTGTGACTGGGAAAAAATTTTTTTACAACCAAAATAAGTGTTTCTGTATCGACTGGAAATAGCCTGAAACGAATCAACAACATATAATCAAATATATTCAATTCTAAATATATTAAAAACAAAAATCGGAATTACATAAAGAAAATAATTTTCAATTATTTAAAAAAATCCTTCAAGAGCCCCAGTAGTTATTGAACATTAAACTGTGACAGGCTGCAGTACTTGAACACCTCTGTACCAGAACTTGAACAATCATTTAGTATGGCTTTAGACTTTAGACACTTTTTGTTAAAATAAAAATAAAAGATTTTAGGCCCAAAAATAAGTATTTATTATAAATGACATTAAAGTTAGCAGTCACTTGACTATTTTTTAATTTTTTTAGCAAATAAATAAATTTGTTCCAAAAAATTATTTTTAAAAAATTAATTTTTTTAAATTTCTAAATGTCAATTTTTTTTACCATGATTTACTTGTTAAAAAAATTCTTAAAATTATCAAATATCTGCTAAATTATATTATAAAATTAACGTTAAACATACATTTAAGTCCTTTACTTTAAGAAACATTCAAATGTATTTTTACCTTTTGTTTACAATGTGAGGTTAGAACGTATAATTTTTTTTTTATTTCTCAAACACTAATATTCGCCCTAAAAATAATAAATTTTGTTTATAGTTTTTTTTATTTTCTTTATTTGTATAATTTTTTTGTTACCATACGATAAAAAGTATTTTTTAAAACACTTTAAAATATTTATTTAACATTGAGTTAGACAGTTCAAGTACTGCAGTCACGTAGAAATGAGAGACGGTATACTTGAACACACGGCACTAAGACACACGGAACTAAGACATCAAGTTATCTTAATATACATTAAATATTAATGTTTACTGCCGGAGTTTTTTAATAATATAAGAATTTCCAAACTGTTCAAGTACGAGGGCCATTTTTAAAATTGTTCAAGTACTGGGTATTTTACCTAAAAATATTAATTTTTTTTCAAAATTTGATTTTTTTTAATTTCAATTTTTTTTTTTTTAAATTTTTTCCACAACTTTTGTTCTGAGGACTTAGAAAAATTTTTTAGTGTATACTCGGTGTAAACTCCATGTATATTGTGCGCATATACACCGTGTAAATTCAGTGTAAACTTGGAGTGTATTTGGTGTATACTCAATATGCACTGAGTATACACCAAATAAACCCCTAATTTACACTGACACTAAGTATACACCGAGTTTACATTAAGTTTACATGGTGTATATGGATCCGCTAGGGGATCATGCTGATTCACTTATACATAAACATTCAAAATTACTATTATCCAATAAGTTTTGACGACCGGTGAAAAACATTTTATATTTCTGATATAGCCAAATATGTTTTATAACAAAGGTTCGCCTGGCCCATGGATGTACAAAGCTACACTCACCGAATATATCAAAATTTATAAGATACTAGCGTACCCAGCCCGCTTCGCCGGGCTTTATTTAAGCATACAGGAATTTAATTATTAACTGAGGGCCTGACCAAACTTAGCTTTTTAATACACTTTGGACCGATTTGAGCCGGTAGATTTTGAGAAATCTAAAAATAACTACAAACAAAAATTTTTTCAAATGTGGTTTTTTTTTTATTTACTTTCAAACGGCTTGATCGATCGATTCTAAAAACTAATCAGCTCTTAACAACGAAAGACCACGTCGATTGCCGCAAGTCCCGTCAAAATCGGTTGATTCGTTTGTAAGTTATCGTTGTCGAAAGAAAACTGAAAAGTGTTTTTTTGGAATCACTCCGAAATTCCTAGTTCAATCAATCCATACTCAAAGATTCTTCATGAGGCTTCAAAAACTGCGTCGAATGTTGCCAACCGCGTGAAATTCGGTTCATTCATTCAAAAGTTATTGCGGTTTGAAAATTCAAAAAATTGTGTTTTATTAAACTGCTATTAGAGTTTCGAGCTCGGAGAGCTAAAAATGACACAAAAATCATATTTTTGGGCTCGAGGAGCTCAAAAACGTAATGTGTAATTGTGAGCGCTTAAGTAAAAAATGAGCGGGAAGTTATAGGGATGGCCTTTAGGGTCAACTGTCGTCCTAATTTTCTTATATTAGTTTTTCTGCCAGGTGAAGATCATCACCTACACCCATAAACATATTAGTTAACACAATATTGTCTCTACGATGAACGCAAAAACAATTAGGGCTTGCTTGAATATTCACAATAAAAGTTCAATAAAAGTTATTTAATATTAAGTTACATCCCAGTCAGCAATATAACGTCTTCTGAAGTCTTTAAGAACAGTTTAACATGGTAACCAAATCTTAAAGACGTCATATTGCTGGCTGGGATATCTAATAATGTGAATTAACTAATAATTTACCTCATGTTTATTAAGGTTAAGAATATAAAGTGCCGAATAATCCCCAATACCATTAGGGGCTGTTCATAAATTACGTAAGCGCT